CCCAGCTCATAACCACCATACACGCACACCATCTATAATGTAGAACAAGGTAGAGGTCATACAAATTTCAGATCTGATGGTGGGTTTTATGAGGTGTTAAAAAGGAGGTTTTGGTGATAAATGATAGGGTAGAGATGGAGAAGCTAGTAGCCAGCTTGCTGTCCACTAAAGAATGAGCAAGATATTTTCTATTACAGTAAAAAGCAATGAGATAGATCACTTAGAACAGGCAATAAGTGAGAAGGGAAAAAAGAGAAATTACTGGGGACAACCAGAATTCGTTAAACCAAACTTTATTGCATTATCAACTCTTCTGAATTGCAATGACTTTGTTCATAGACTCACCATGAGAACTCAGATGCCCTTTCGCAGACTCTAATTTGGACTAGGAAATTTACCAAAAACAACATCTAGTTGCTTAAGAACCAAGAAAAATTCATTCCATAAGGACACTCGAATAAGGATTCTAACTCCTAAAAAACTCCAATAACACTTTATTAACTAAAACCAACTTAATGTAGAAAATCAGAAATAACTACAAACAGTAAATCACACATTTAATATAAATAGCAATTGTAAATGTAAGGATTAATATAAAAAAGCCATGCCCAAAAGTTACCATAAATAGTGATTTCAATTTGCTAAAGAACTAATTTCTAGAAGACTTAAGACACCTATAACTAGAAAATAAATTTAAAAAGCCAAAAATACCAATATCCTTATCACCCAAAAATTCTGTAACTGGTGTAAGAAATGAATAACTAATATATTTCTCCATGGATTCCTTCCTTGCTTCTGTAATCTGTATCCACGATTCCACATCAACCTATCTCCATCCCTAAATATGCCATTTAGGGTAGTTATTTACAATTTTAAGGGTGGTGAATTAGGGACATAACTTCCAATAGATTGGGATTAATGGATTAGATTTAGCATAGACACCCTTAATGACTGCACAAAGTGAGGCAAGACAATGTTAAATAAAATATGAAAAAAAAAACTGTTAATAGAAAAAGAGAATAAGTAAATAGGAGAAAAGACAAATATACTTGAAATCTGCATGGAATAGCAATCTAAGAATAGCAAACATCATATATAACTTGAAGCTGACCCTAACCCAATTAGAGAGGGACACACCAAACCTTTCCCATTAGAGAAGGACAACTTAAATGATAAACCTGATTAATTAACATCCCTACTAATAAACAGGGAACCCTCCTAACTGATGGGAAAAAAAGGCGTTTTGAATAAACTGCTACATAATTTCTCTCTGTTACTATACATAGGGGTATCTTTTTTTGTCTTTCCACCAGAAGTTTACCCTATTACCAAAACAGGTTTCTTAAGTTATTCCCAATTTTCATTATAAAAAGAAAAATTTCCCATAAAACAGGGTTATCTTTTGCCTAATGGCAATGGTTCAATAGAGTTAATTATTGAAATTTGCCACACGAGGAGAAAGTTGGCAAACAGATGGAGCCCCTCCAGGCCACCACCTAGCCTCTATATGTAATATAATATTCTTCATCTCTATTCCTTAATTAGATATGCTAAAGATGAGATGCAGTAAGATCATTATACACTAAAACCAGCCGAGTGTTATAGGGGCCACAATATGGTCTTGTTCTATAGAGCAAAATATTTAGCAATCAATAAAATGAATGTATTGGAGATGATAAAGAAGTGGAGAAGGATTAGTGGAAGGTTTGAACGCACAAAAGTACAAATGATTCATGAATGTAGTGAAGTGAAACAGGAAGTAGCACCAAGTGGGGCAGGACAAGGGAAAGTAGACTATAAGCTTTGGTCATTTTAAGTAAAACCAGGAGACATGATGGTGAAAATTAATGGCTTGGGAAAATTCAAAAGAGAAGGCCAAAATGAACCTTGGATGAGGCAGTGAGAGAAATTTTGAAAGATATGACCTCAAATGAAGGTAAATGGAGGACAGTGGGAAAAAAAGGGGTGTGCATAGTTGTAAGCTATATGCATTATATCACATCTTTAATTGCATATTGCAGTCTATGTTGGCATAGCATCCTTGTAGAATATCTAGCACATGAATGAATTGCCACATTTAATATATATATATATACTAGCGAGCCCAGGTAAACTAAGTACCTTTGCAAGTGAACATGAAAATGATTCCAACTGCCCATCTGCACCACGATAGAAGTGGAAATAAGGAAGAACCTTCACATTCAAGCTTTTACACATAGGTTTGTTTTCATCAAAATTCACTTTTAGGAATAAAATGTCTGGATGTTCTTCAGCAGTCTTGCATAGCTGGAAAATAAAATCATAGTCAGGTAAAACAGATAAAATTACCCAACAGCACTATAAATAATTTTTCCCGAGAAAAACACCATAAAACAATTTTAGGAAGGACCAAAGAAATCAATTAGCAACAGCAGATAGAGACATGTGATGACCATTCAAAATGTACTATTAAGAAGTGCAAAAATAAATATGATCTGAAATAATTGGGATGAAGGTTAAATCAACTTATCTGGTGGGAGAATAACATTAACAAATCAAAAACTCTATAATCAGAACCTCATCAAGACCCAAGCTTCATTTATTTTGAGGTCACAACAAAGCTTAAATTATTAGTTATGAAGATCAGGACCTCCATTAAATAAATGAAACTGGTTCATTTACCTTTTGGAAGATAAGGGAACATGCATAAACAGGCTTACCTAATCAGTTAAAACCAACCCCCAAGTAAATTTCAAAGGCTAACCATTACAGATTTCATTCTAGTGTGCCCTGGATAGCAAAAGATTTGGTGTATACCAGAAAACCAATTATGTCATTGTGATTACTAGAAAGAACTTCCTAGATATTAAAACTTCCACAGCCACAAGAAACCAATTATCCTTTCTAGCTCTCTTCCAATATTCACTGTACCGTAAGTAACTTTTATGCAAGCAGCAAGCCATACACTCTGTTCGTTGTTAGGTTGCAAGTATAAAGCTAATATATGAAATGCTTATAGTGGATTCAGGGTTGTAAGATGCAGAGCCTATTTAGGATAACATTCACAGATTAATTATAATTATGCCTAGAAATAAAATATCAGTTAGTTTCTACTTTCTAGCATGAACTAACTATGGGTTGCTTTCAGAGAAAAAACAAAGTAAATAACCTTGGGAAACAATGCCCGGCAAGAAGCACACCAACTGCCATAAAATTCAACAATAACCAGTTTATCTCCAGCTTCACTTAAAGCACTCAAAAATTCTTGTGTAGAATGAATGTCAATCATATTTGGTCCTGCATTTTTTTCCCACCATTTTGGCTGATCAGTTTCAGTAACTGTTGCCTGTACCTGAAGCAAAACCCCAAGAATAGAAGCATCAGAAAAGCTTTGTTGTGAAGTTATAAGCTTATTCTCTGTTATATCAAAGAAATTAACAGAAGAAAGTTCCAAAAGAAATTGAAGAAAGCAACAGTAAGAACGAGACATAATGAAACTGAAGTGTGGAGAAGAAAAATCTTTAACTATCCTCAACAGGGAAAACAAGGCAGAAACCACGAGAATGACAAAACTTTAAAGTTTAGTTCTACAGAAGAAGACCCAAAATAAAACTTTAAGAACGAGAAGAAAGGACACCTGGCACCAATTGAGAAAACTTTAAGCAAATATTAAACTGTTTGGAATAAGATATACATACAAGTTAAAATATGATTACCATATAACAGGAACACAAAGTTCAGAAACACAAACACCTGATAAATTGGACTTAGTGGTGCTATGTAAGTTGCTGAATGAACAGAGACATAATGAACTAAAATAAATCACTTTTTTTCATGTAAAAACAAAACACCTATAAAAGAGATGGCGATCAAAAACAATTTCGTAAAATAACTTAAATGTACCAAACAATGAACGAAGCAGATACAAGTTACAGGAGAATTCCATGAAGAGAAATGATAGTTTTGACAGGTGACCATTCAAGAATCCAGTGAGGTTTCCGTTAGAGGAAAAACTAATGCACGAAGTCCATAAAACACCAAGAGATGGGTACGAAATATTCTCCTCAAATTAACGAGAAAGGGTAAATTCGAAAAACAAAAGGTAAGAAAACATAATTATAGCATCAAGTACATTAAAAATTGATTATTAGATATGGGTAATCAAGCGCCTACTCTAATTTCCAAACAAAGACGTCCAAATAACAGTAGAAACAGCAGAAGCAAGCAAATTAGTTAAGGTTACATTAAAACAGCAGAAGAAACGAAGAACAATTGCAGAACAGAGAAGGTTTGAAACAAAGAACAGGTTACCTTTGAAGAAATCAATCGTCTTGGATGCCTAAAGAAAAGGGGAGCGGCGGTACCAACAAAAGAATCTGCTACTGAACAAATCCTACTATCTAAATTTTGCTTTGGTTGGAACCCAAGTTGGAAAGAGGTGAAAGACGATGGAGAAGATAATATCAGGGGAAAAGGAGAAGGAGAAGGAAAGCGGTGTATATGATAAGGCAAACGAAGAACATCCGCCATTGGAGAGGAGGGAAAGAAAAGAGCCTTACCTCACCAGGCACAACTTAATCCTTCCCCTCCGATTCACAAGTGCAGTGCAGGACAGGCCCATGTGAATCGGGAAGCGCTCTTTCTCTCCCTCTCTCTCTCTCCTCCATTCCAAGAGTCCAAGTGTCTATGGTCTCTCGCGTGTGGACGATGTACGTCGTCTGATCCTGAATCTTGAATCCTGATCGTGGAAACTCAAGGATTTCCACAATCCACATTTTATTTCTATTTAATTTTATTTTTCCGCTTTTTCTTTTTTTTTTTTTTTCATGGTTTCACCGACCAAAAAGCTAAGTTGTGGAGGATCTGCCGGGATCGAACGTGTGACCTCCCTGAAATTTAGCTTTAGGGGAAGGTTTGGCCGTTAGAGGTTCGGCTCGGAGGACTCACGTCTCACGGTCACGGTCATGGTGACCACTGTCACCACCCAATTGGAGTCTGGAGGCGTAGACAGTTGGCCTAGCAAAAGCACTGGGACAGGCCAGATGGACCGGATCCATCGACCACAACGACGAATGCAATACTTTTGGGTGATTGAATCGAACGAGCCCGAGCCTGGGACCACTACATGAAACTGGGGTCTACAGCATATTAGATCAGGGATCAATACATAACTGAGTATGTGGCAAATAGCATTTAGCAATGCAAATATCCCATTTGAGTTCTTAAAATCTGAACCGATTCTTGAACCGGATTGCTCTATATTCTAATTCAACCCCTTGGACTTAGAATCATGAGATTGATTGGATTGGGCTTTGGGCCCGGATCACCGACGCTGATGATCTTTGATCCGGTGCCACATGTTTGGAAGATTTCCTGATTGTTCTGTAAATCATCATGGCTATGATCTATGGTCCAGACTCGAAACAGTTGGTCTCAACTCTGAAGGCACACCACCTATTGTCAACCTTCCCTGTTATAATCTAATGGGTTTCGTATAAAGTACGGTTTTGAGTATGGTTTTTAAAAATGACCCGGTGATCGAATCGGTGAGATCCGGAACAGTTCATTTTGATAAAAAAAATAAAAAATAAAAAAGTGGTTAAAACCGTTCAAACGGTTAATCGTTCGAGTCAATAGTTTGTTGATCAAGATCAACGGCAAATTTTCAGTTGGAAAAAACCGAAACTGATCACCTAATTGGCTCCTGGTTTTTCTGGTCTAACCGTCTTAGTCCAATCTCATTTTGAAAACAATGATTTTGAGTATTGGTTTTTGATCTGAGAGACCCTATATATCAATATGATTTTATATTAAACTTATATGCTTTTAATTTTAATTAAAAGGCTGCTATATTAAATTTATATGGGGTTATTTCATCTGGTTTTGGAGGAGCGGTTTATTAGTCATCTCTTTCGTCCCTTCCGTCAGATTTCGAGTTTACTGTTGTTGATTGCCACTGGATGGGTTTGAGTTTGGCAATCAATTCTCTCCTTTAACCCTTTGTTGGTTTAGGGTTGGGATGCTTTATTCAGGAGTTTCTTGTCAAGTTAATCTCTATTGGAGGTTTGGAATTGGGATTTGCATCCTCCCGTAAATAATAATACAGAACTACGGGAGATATTCTTAATACACGGTGAGATGTATCTGTAGCCCTGTGTGAAGAGCAGATTTGACCTCGGAAGTTTGACCCTTCTTTTTGGCATTTTATGGATTTGTGCTACAAAAGTACTCACAATTCTGAATTTATTTTTGTTTTCTTTTTGTCAAATTGATAATCTGATTTTTTTTTTCTTTTTTGTCAATTCATTGGACAATTCTGACTGATGCTGATTGTAATATCTTGTATTCTGAGCAATTTTTTAATTGAAATCTGTCACATGAGATCACATCTCCGGCCCACAGCACATCCCCATCTGATATTTTCATTGGGAGAGATTCCTGATACACGACGAGGATGTGCTGTGGGGCGAAGATGTGAACTCCTGTTACATGTGACTTCAAATAAAATAATTAAATTATAATACAAAAGTTAATATAATCTATGATACTGGAAAAACATGATATTAAAAGAGTTTTGACCAATCAAAACAATCTTATGAATTTTGATGAAGACAACCCCAAACCTAATTCATCACCTCTTTTTTGATAGTGATTGATTGACTGTAAATTTTTACTAGTATCATGTCTTTCTGATATCATAATCAAACCCTTTACAATAAAACATGCAGGAAATAAATATCTTGCAAGTTAGATTCATTTGATTTGTGTTTTCTTCCTCCTTCCCGGCTTTAATGTATAAATTATAAGTTTATATTAAGGAAATCTCCATTCGACATTAGAGACGGCAATGGGTGAGGTATCCGCAAAAATTGTTCTTAGGAATCCATTCCTAAGAGAACCCGTTAAACCCGTCATGAGTATAGCTTATTATTGATATATTTTTTCGATAAGATGTATTTATTTATACAAGAAATATCCTATTATTGATATCACTTTTTGAATTTGGATTTCAAATTCAATTACCTTAATTAAACTCATCATAATTGACTCTATAACAAACCTTCTTTAACATACCACTTATAACATTCATTAATTATTTATATCCCAAAATTAACTAAATTAATTATATCCAAATCTATTTAAAATCAATCTTATATATAACTAATATGTTGTTATAAGGATTTAAACCCAAGTTGGTTACTTGGAACACAAGTATTCTAACCATACCTTGCTAACTTGCTATACTAGTATTGATAAGCAACGTATTGAAGCACAAAAACAAAATTCATTCAGCTCTGAATGTTTTTGCCTCTATAATCACAATTATCCATTTAAAAAATATTTTTGTGATCAATTTCATAAGAGAATTTGGAAACAACCTTTGGTATGTGTTGGATAAGGCTGCGTACATATCTGTCCATACCTAAACCGCATATTGGCGGGAGCCTTGTACACTGGGATGCCCTTTTAGTTTATTTTAAATTTTATAACATTTTACGTGATCATTAATGAGATTATATATAAATCATATATTTAAATTTATATGGCATCTCCCATCACACAAGTAAAATGCGATGTCCCTCTTAAGTAGAAATTGTGGTAAGACATTGCTAAAGATGCCTATAATGGGATACAAGGGGCAAGGGTTTGAATCCTCTTTCAACCCTTTTTTACTATGTAAATAATTCCTTATAAAATATATTTAAACAGGTATCAAGAGAAGAGACCCACCTTAAATATAATTAGGTTTGGGTACCAAGTACCCTAAGGTCAAATCTCAAACCCTAGGGTTTTGAACAATGGATCATACTAGGGTCAGGTACTCAAAAATTCCCATAAAATTGTCATCCCAACCAAAGGAAAATAGCACCAAAAGAAATGTTCACTTAATTTTATTTCCTTGAATTTGCCCCATCTATTCATCAGTTTCCACGGTTTTAGGAATACATTTCTTACTTCCATCTTTCTTTACATTCAAATGAAAATTTCTTTGCTCCAAAAGCCTCAGAGGAGAGATTCATTGTACTTTCATTTGGATTGTATCAGGATTGACCTGCTAAATTGGAAATGGACTTGGGAAATTGAATTTCTTCTTACAGAAAATTTTCGAGCTACTAATTTACCATCTCTACCAGGACCACTACCCCTCTCCTCCCCACCATCCAGGAAAAAAACTCCAAAAGAGACCATCCCTCTTGAATTCCTTCTTTTAACCATCTATTAATCTAAAAGATGAACAGAATTCAAGGGGATAGAGCCCACTTCTAGGCCCAAAATTTCACCAATCTTTACCAGCATTAACTCCACAATCTATTAGCAGTCTAATAATTCCACCCATGCAGAGCATAAACCCTTTCCTAATGACCTATTCCCCATTTGCATGCATCAGCCTAGCTTTAAACTTACCTACAATTTGGTCAAACCTGTAAATTTCTTAACCTACATTCAACCCCACCTAAAGAATAAGTTGTTTATGCATGATTCAATGAGAACACTTTCTTTGTTGCTCCAACATTATATATATTTTTAATTAAACTGAATAACAATTAACACAAAGGCCTAATTATTTGCAAGGTCTGTCCTTACTCTTGCACCCCTTACCATATCTCAAAACAAGCAAGTTGGGTTGAGTTGGGGAGACTTTCAGTCCAGATTTTGGCAACATTACCAGGAGAGGCTATTTTGATTTTTGACCAGGCAGTCAGCAACATGGTTTGCCACCCTGTACTTATATGCATATTAAGTTACCAAAAGAATGTAGTTTAGACAGGCAATTATCCTTAAAATCATCCAAAGAAGCATATGAAATCATTTAATGTGTGTGCTTTCAGATGTGTGTAGGGTGTGAGGGCATGTTATTTCTCTCTCTGTTTGGGTTATGGGAAACTATAATATGGCTCAAGAGGCTAGAGATAGATGGGAAAAGGAAATGAAGATCTTATGAAACCCAAGTATTCAGTCCACTTTAAATGAATTGCTTATGGAAACAGCATGCAACCATTCAAAAATCCATACCAGTCGCTCATCCCGTTCCAACTTTCAAGGTAGTTCAAGCGGAAGCCTGCATGATTCAAGCAAGAAGAAAAAACTTGGACCAATCGTGACTACAATTTTCAGTCATGCATCTCAAATTTAAAATTGCATAAAGAAGTCAAGGAAGCAATGAGATATGCAAGTCCAAGCCTAACCAGAGGAGCATTCCATTCATAATCCTTAAGCAGAGATCATTTTACATAATTCCAACTACGAATCTAGGTCCCTTCCTAGCATGTCCACCACAAACTACAGTTAAAAGTGAAGTTGGGCAGATGATAGGTGTAGGGTTGTTAACAGTAACTACCCACAAATAACAACAGATCTTGTAGAAGGTGGAACTACTTACTATCTTCCTTCTGCAATGCCTAATCTTATTTCCACAATCGTATGACAAAATTAGCCAGAAATTTGCATAAACATGGAAACCCATCCTGTCGCAGCTGACATCTCCATGAATGCAGACAGAATTGATTTCAGGAGCTGGGCAAGATGATAGAGTTTGGAAATGATGCTGTACCGTTATTAGGAGCTCCCTGTACCTTAAGAATGGAAGTGACCAAATTGTATATCTGAACATTCTCAAACGACGGGACCTTGCGACCTCTTTCAAACTGAGGGCCATGGGCGATGAATATGGTTCTCATCGAGAAGAATGCATTATCATAACCATGTGCTCCTCCACATTCTTTCCTGTTCGATCTTGTCTGCTCTACCGTAAACCCTTCTGCAACCAGTCCTATTATGGGTGGGATTCGATCGTTCTCCGCGTAATGGAGTCGTTCAGGCAGCTCCTCCTTGAGAAATACCTTGAGTCTCATTCCATTCTCAACCTCGCCCGAACTCAAAGCTTCCGTCATCTTGGCAACGACATCCGAAGGAGAAACGCCGGCAGGAGGCCGAATTGAAAGCAAAGGACTGTAAGAATGGACCCAGTCTTTTGGAATTTCAATCCAAGGGGCCAAATCATCAAGAAAGATGAGCTTTTTATCACAAGTACCGACCATCCCATGATCTCCCACCAAAAGTATGGTGACATCCTCGAAAACGCCTCTCTTTTCTAGGCCTTGGATCAACCTTCCGATCATTTTATCAATATTGGCAACGGCTTCTGTGATCTCCGGATCATCAGGTCCAACTTGGTGTCCCTGATGATCTGGGTCCTCAAAATATAGAGTCATAAACACAGGAATCTCACTAATAGGAAGATCAAAGTACTTTAGAATTGTATCAACTCGTTCTTCGAACGGCACAGAACCATTATAGTGTTGGCAGAAATTCACAGGGCAATTCCAAGAACCTTTAGGTACCTCAGAACCGGGCCAGAAGTAGGTGGCAGCCTTGAGTCCATGATTGGCGACGGTCTCCCACAGCGGTTCACCCAACCACCATTTGGGTTCGTGGCTCGACATGGTGAATTTGTCGCCGGTGATAGGGTCGTAGAAATAGTTGTTGACGATGCCATGGTAGGCGGGGTAGAGTCCCGTGACGATCGAGTAATGGTTGGGGAATGTAAGCGTTGGGAAGACGGGGATGAGACCCGTCTGGGCTTCGGTGCCGTTGGCGATCAGACGACCGATGTTGGGAGTGGGGGTCTTGAATTGATACCCGAATCGGAACCCATCGGAGGAAATTAGGAGAACGACGGGCCGATCGAGTTTGGTGAGGGGGCGAGCAGTTGACTCTACGTTAAGCGATGTTTGGGAAGAGTTAGAAGAGAAGGAGGAAGCGGAGGAGAAGAAGAGGAAGGCAAATGCACCGGAAGCAGCGAGAGCGATGCAGGTTATGAGGAGGAGGGAAACGAAGAGGATGGTTGTGGTTGTTTTTGGAGAAGTGGAATCAGTTTTGGAGAGGAGAGCTGTTGATGGGTTTGGAGGGTCTTCCTCAGATGATGATGCTAGGGATGTAGGTTTCAATGGGCCTAAGATGGATAGAGAAGAAGAATCCATTGAAGAGAGAGAGAGAGAGAGAGAGAGAGAGAGAGAGAGATTGGAGAAGCAGTAGCTTCAATCGTGTAGAGTCTCAGAGAGAGAGAGAGAGAGAAAAGCAGCGCTGTTTGACGGTAAGGTAGATTCTCCCTACTCTTTAAAAGCATTCCACTTATCCCCCCGAAAAAAAAAAATTCTGTAAAAGCAAACGTAGACTAAATTGGTAAAACACTAAACCCGGATGAGGACAGACCAGGTACACATGAGGATGAGGCCCACTAACCGGGTAGGAATTTGCTGCCAACACAGCTAGCATAGCAATATTGGGAGCGGATCTGAATCACTAGCCACACCCAATGTTAATGTTTTAACTTTTAACTTCAAAACTAGCGGGGTGGAGGGGTGGAGGGGTAATGAGTGTAGAAAAATAAATCTTAAAACTATGTTGTCACAGTAAATTAAACCACAAGAAGTATGTTCTGGAAATAGTGAGCAATAAATTGTGGATTACAAAAATACGTTTTTGAAAGAAATTAATTAAATATTTGGAAATGGTGTAATAAGCAATGCCCATATGAATTTAAAGAGTGAAACATTAAGTTGTAAGGTTTCGACTCATATGCTTCTTACAAAATAAAAAAAAAAAAAAGACAACTCGTTCTTTACAAAAACATGGTGAGCTATTTGAATCGCTTTGTATAGCAGACATGCTCTTCAATGGACAGGATTAATGGTATGTGATTAAAGGGCAGGATAGGGATTCAAACTACCTACGACAACAGAAAGAAATGGCATTTGATAAAAAATTATAGATTCTCACAACTAATAACCAACTTTCCCAATTTTTATTTCTTTGAAAAATCTATAGGTAATTTTATTTCATTTTGGGAGGAAGAGGACTCAAAAGGTTCATTGGTGTTCATTTGGCTATTCTCTTTTGACTGGAAATTCTCAGACAATTACCATACCATGTGGTCATTGGGCAAAACATCAGTCCCAACAAGATTACATACAGGGTGAGCTTAATTATCACTATCTTGAAAATTTAATTTCCCTGCTTGATGAAGATGATCATGATGAATCACATAAAGTTGGAATGACTAATCAAGGAAATGAAAAAAAAAAAATAAAGAAGCAAGTATTAACCCTAAAAAGGAAAACTAAACAGCAGTCATAATTGCACTTTGAAAGTTGCAATGACTCATTACGACAAAAGTAGACGAATATACCTAATTAAAACAAGAAGACTCAAAATTTAACAAGAAAACAACATGTAAAAAGCAGGAAAATCTTTTTAATTAGTTGAATGCACCATTGATCCATCTAAAAGAAGTCTACAAGAACATACATAATTACAGCAAGTGCGGAAGAACATACATAATTATAGCAATTGTAGAAGAATATACTAAATTCAGATATTACAAAATAAATTCAAAAAAGTGAACAAATAAACAATTTGTAAATGACGATCAATGAGGTCCATGCTATACAGTACTGCTGGATTGCAGTTTGGAGGTCGTTGTCAAGGCGTCTGAACCAAAAAACAAGGATAGTTGGTTGGTTTCAAGGGCTAATGAATACTTAACAACAGAAATCCATCGGTTCACTGGGGAGTCAATAAATTAAGTAAATCAAATTAAAAATTGATTGACTGGGCTAAGTCAAGGGATTGATGATCGAGCTGAGACTGACCAACTTGAGTTGCATAATAAGATAATTAGAGAGTAGCAGAAGAATGGTGAGCGTGGGGTCAGAGCATTGCATTGCATTAGGGACAAAGAGTAGATGGTAGAGACCCACGAATAGTAAAGAGAGAGCAAATGGAATTTATCGGTAATCGTTGTTGTAGTGATTTGAAGTTGTTGCAGAAATTTGAAACTGGAAATTGTAAGAAAATGGAGGGTTGAGTTGTGCTACTTGGTCACTCTCCTTAAAACCGTATTTTCCCCCTATGGTGCAGCCGGGTGATCGCAAACCGGTCGCCAAGATAAAACAGCCCACAGGCCACTGGTAGGCGTGCACTTGCTTATCGGACCTCTATGAACCACTGAAGATTGATGCTCAGATTTCTCAGAGAAAAGAAAGTCAAAAATGGTGTATCTTATTGACTGGGTCGGCCAACACTCCTTTTATAGAGTGCTCTCAAACCCGAATGGACACAGATGTGTCCTTTCAGACAGGAGCCTCTTCAGAATAGTGCACCTATTCGAAAAGGCACAAGGAGGAAGAAGAGACACGAAAAAAAGGAAAACAATTTATTTAAAAATTAAATTTGAATTTGAAGAGACACGTTTTAAAAATTGAAAAGGTGTAATTTGGATAAAATAAATGATTTAGTGGATCGTGCGTACACATACACGTACACGCCCTGACCCGGCCCCGGCCCAACTCGATTCAGAACAGTGCACCTATTCGAAGAGGCACAAGGAGGAAGAAGATACACGAAAAAAAAAACAATTTATTAAAAAATTAAATTTGAATTTAAATAGACACATTTTAAAAATTGAAAAGGTGTAATTTGGATAAAACAAATGATTTAGTGCATCGCGCGTACACGTACATGCCCCGTCATTCAATGAAGGAAATGACAAAAATAACAGAGGGAGGAGAGAGATTCTTGTAAATTTGAATCTCCCTCCAACAATCCCCCACAAGATTCAAAATTACAAGAAGATCGAACAATCTGAGCATCATAGTGAGAAAAGTATTCATGGTGATGTCTTTGGGACTTCAATCAACACTTATGTATGATAGGTTATGTTACAGAGTACGAGTGGAGTCAGACTCCTTCAACCTTTCCTCCTTATCGTAACTAGCTAACCGACCAACCAACTCAACTCACAAGTTCTTTAGTGGTTCTTTTGTTTCGGAACATTTCGGCCTTGTTCCCCTCTTGGAATCATGAGTGTTTTTGAGAGTCAGCCTTAGATCTCTCTTAAAAGCGGCCATACTTCACACTCACTTATGTCAGTTATTAGTGTGCACTGCTCACACTACTCCTAACTGATTAAGAGCCTCATGCTCAACCTCCTCAATCTGCAATGAGCACTATCTTACCTCGACATCTGAAATATATATATATATACACACACACACACACACACACACACACATAAGAGTATATAATTTTTTATATTTTAATTTTTAAATTATTAATATTTTTATGCTTTATATACTATTTTTAATCATTTTTTTACAATTCAAAAATAATAATAATTAATTTGAGTTAAATAAATAGTCAAATATCTCATAAATAACAGTAGTTTAATCTCCAATAATTATTAAAAATTATAATAAAAATACATAATCATTGACAAAATTATAATAAAAATACAATAAATACAATAATTCTAAAAATACAATAAATGATAAAATTGTATTAGATTAATCTATAAATATTGTAATCTCCAATAATAGTTTAATATCTAATAAATATTAACCAATAAATTATAACGAAAATACATAATTACTAAAAATAAATTATAACAAAAATGCAATAAATCCAATAAGGATAATAAATTAAATTTCAAAAAGTTCAATAACAATAGTTTAATCTCCAATGATTATTGAAATTTTATTATTAAATAAAAAAAAATAAAATAGATTTATATGTAATTATTGAAAATATATTTATCACGAAAATACAATAAATCATTACTAAAAATTAAACAAATATTAATTTTATATATATAAATATGTAATAGATATAGGTAAGATTTTATAACTATTATTAATAAATATTAATTTTTCTGAAATTATTTTATAGAATTATTAATTGATATGAGTGAAACAATGATTTTATTATTAGTACATTAATAATTGCAATTATTATTTATTTTTAATATCTACTAAAAATATTTTTTATCGTTATTACATATTTTTTTTATTTGGAAGCTTCAATACCTCTAAATTATTTAATATATTTCTCATTAGCTCAATAATACTTAAATTTGTAATATATTAAATTATTATTAATTTAAATATTATGTTATAATTATTTTTCTACTTTGAAGAAATTTTTTAAATTTATTACATAATTTCGTTATTTTAA